CGTGCGTCCGAGTGAGGGGCAGCCGGGCCGGCCAACGGAGCAAGGGCTGCTGGCAACGCGCCAATCGGCAAGCTCCGTTGCCACGGCCACGCGGAAGACCAATCCCAGCGCTCACAGCCAGGGAGGGGGCGGCCCCTGCGCTGCCATAGGCTGAGCCGCTTGTCTGTCGTCGCGCCGGCGTTCGGCTGTCGCGATAGGCGGCTGTGTCGCGACAGGGCGCCGTCTGTATGGCCGTGTTGGTGCTCTCCACAGCTTGCCCCTTTTCTAGTTCATTAAGAAACAGTAAACAAGTAACTTATATATATATATGTGTGTGTGTGTGTGTGTGTGTTTGCGCGCGCACATATATATAAATATATATAAAAATTTTTGGCAGGGGGTGCCACGCTGTGGCCCATTTGCTGGCAGGCAGATGAGCTGCGTGGGGAGGGTGGAGGCGGCACCATGCCGTGTCCGACAGGGCAGCCGGGGAAGCCCGAGCCCCCCTCTGCCACCAGGTCACCCTCATGAGTGACCAACATTTTACGGGCATTTGTAGAAGTGCAAAAACCATGGGCAGAGGGACCCCTTTTCCTCCTCCTCCTCCTCCCCAGGACAAGCAGGAAGGCCATGCTCATGGCCACGCGTGCAGCCCCGCACTGTGCCTCTTCCTGGGCTGTGCTCCTGCTCCCACTGTCCCATGGAAAATAAAACCAGAGCTCGAGATGGAAATCCTACAATTTTTAAAATTTATTGCTGGCACGGCCAAGACAAGAGCTCGCAGGTAACCCGTTCTGCATGTTCGAATGGTGCAGGAGCAAGTTTTAAATCTGCCGTGGAGAAGTTACGCCTCCACTCTCACCCTTATTCTGAAGCTTAGTTTGAAGCGCTAGACGCTGGAAATGGCTCACGCGCTCTTTAAACACGTACTACTTACCCAAGGCTCACGGCTGCTTTTGAAGGAGAAACTTCAGCAGTTTTTTTCCTGTGGAAAGAACAGGTGTACCCAGAGGCTGTACCCAGCCTCTGCCAGAGAACATCTTCTCAGCAGCAGAACGGCTGCCTCGCGGACACGGCGAGGAGGACCCAGCTACAACCAAGGACTGCAGAGCGTTAGTCCCCATCCCTGATGCCTTAAGAGAAGACACAGAGAACAGCTCTAGTGAGTTCTGGCAGTACTTACCATTCCCAGCGTATAAATCACCAAGAAGAATCGCATCAGGAGCAGAGGATAGATGGCTCCAGGTGATGGAGGCTACCCGCGCCGCCAGCCGAGAGCCCCGCGGTGGCGGTGCGGAGACCGGCGACGGCTGCTGCCTCCCACCTGGCGCCCCAGGGCCGCCACAAGCCCCCCCGGCGCCTGCCGCCGTCCCCGCCATCGGCCAGCCCACGCGTCGCCTTTTCCCATCCTTCACGCCCTTTTCCTCGTCCTGGCCCTTCTCTCTGTCTCCCGCCTTCCCCTTGCCCTCATGAAGGAGGCTGCACCTAGGGCTTCTCCCCAAAACAGAGCTACAAGGGCTGCTGTATGAGCCCAGCTTCTTCTGCAGGGTCCTTTCACTGAAGCCAACTGCAGCTTTTCGCTTTAGCTGGCTGGGGTTTAGGGGGGTTTTGTTTGGTTTAAGATATGTGAAATGGCAGATCCAAGGTAAAACGTCCCTAGTATTTTCATGAGCTGTCTCTTCACACAGAAAAAGCAGCAGGTAAAGAAATCTTTATATGATGGAGGCTGCCTTTGCCTTGTGAAAGCCCCCTTTCAATCTAAGTGCAATGTGGGGAGCCCAGCTCCTTTGGAGCACAGCACTGCTTCCCCTGGAGGAGCTGCCGTTAGTCACTTCTCGTTACTCAACACAGGGGAGCGATTACTCAATGCTGACCGTGTGGACAGCACACCAGAGCCACCCTTTAATCCTAGAGCACACACAGAAACCACCCCGAGAGGCACCTCCTCCTCCCAGGAGCTGCTGTTCCTAACAGAGGTTCCCACATTTCCCGTCACGTGTCTGTGGCCTGTCACTGTGCAAACCTGGCAACGCAGAGCAAGCACAACAGCAGCTCCGCCGAAACCGTCGCGAGACCGTCCTCCTTTGCAGTGATGGGTCAACTGCAATACTGGTTTCAGTGCTTGTTTATAAGCCCACCTGCAAGTATTTTATGTAGGAGTTTCCATTTTTCTCAAAGCTGGTAAAGTCAATCCAATCCATTAGTGCTATAAGGCAGTAATGAAGGCAACAGTTTGGTTTACTTTGTGACGCTTAATACTGATTTCAAACAAAGTAAGTACATTTGTGAGACTGTCATGATAAATACCACAAAAAGCCTATAACAAGCTGTTCTGGGAAGATTATACAATTTCAATACGAGGGCTAAAAACACATCTGATTTCTATAAACTGGATACCATTCAGTGTGATGAGGTTAAAACAAATAAATGAAATTCAACAGCATTATTTATTATGCAATTGGGAGCACACTGAAAATGCTTTCTCTAAATAGGATGCTTCCCAAGGGCTAAAATAAACCTGTGTGAGAAGTCTCACAACTATTTTGCTGTGGGGCTCAATTTCCACATTATTAGAGGGAAGAAAGGCAGGGAAGAAGATTCTGTTTCCTCCTTACACCACTCATCGCTCATACAATTGAACCTCTCCCAAATGCACCATGATATTAAAACCCCTAAAAAGAGCAAAGACATTTCTTCTCTTTTGCCCCATTTAAAAGGGAGCTACACTTAATATTTGTAAAACACAAAGAAGTCAGATATCCCTCTCAAATAAAAGCTGTACACTGTAGTTAAGTCTACTTTGCAGTAACTATAGATATTTTTGCCTTTAAAATGCATGAGGGTGTAAAAGGCTGCATAAAATCAAGTAATCAGCTTCTCAGCTAAATAACCCCTCAGGTCAGAAGCATCTGGGACATCAGGCTGCATTCCAGATGAGCGAGGTGAATCAGAAGCATGAACAGTGTTTTTGTTTTAAGTAAAAAAAATGTGGAAATGGCTATAAAAGCTTGAATAAAGCCCATAACTGAAAATCAACATAAATTAATTAAAAAAATGGCATCTAAATAAAACTTGGATCTTAGTGCCATAAAGGCGATCACCTGAACAACTTGATAATCTGAATTAATCTGAATGATGGTGTTAAATCTCATTCAAAAACAGCTTCATGCATGTGCATGTACTGTACCTCCCCCTCAGCTGCATCCTCATTCCATGGAGGATTTTGGAAATCATTACAGGAAATTGTGCCCCAGTGTGGGGTCCAGGCACTGCTTGACCTCCTCACGGGGCGCAGGCAGCCTGCCTTGGAGGGAGCATCTGCACGGCTCACGCTGGCCAGCCCAGCTCTTGGCCCCGCGGCACCCCAGGGCGGTGGCCTGGGCTGCAGCCAGCAGGACCGTGCGGGCACCAGCCGGAGGAGCCGCGCGGCCACCGGCGCGCAGCAGCAGCTTCGCATTCCAGAATCCTGCTATCTGCGAGCCAAACTTAAGGCTGCCATAAATGACTGCGACAGCCAGACGGGTAAAATGCTCAGTCATTTGGCCCTGCCTATTCTATAGAAATTACCATGTTTGATACAGCAAGAAACAGCACTCACTATTACTGATAGCAGCACCACACTGAATTGAATCAAGAGTTCAACTTTCTTGTAAAAAAAGTGCTCTTGGTTTCGATTCAGGTCTTGAGAAGCTAGACTAAACATCCCACAGCTGGCAATGCTGTTATGTGCTAAGGACAGAAGAGAGTTAGGAAAGGCACACACCACCATGCCCAGCACAGCTCACAGACATCTCTGGCAACACATGTATCCTGATGAATTCCCCCAGCAAAGCACTTCCACAGGCTGCCTCCCACTGCCTCGCTTATTGTCAACATGCCCTGGGATTGCAGGAAAGCTCACACCTGAGAACACAGATAACTGTAAAATAACTTTCATTCCTTTATTCAAACTTCACATATACAGTGGACAAAAAGACATTTTAAAATAGTTCCATATAATTATATGGATTTTTGCAACATATCAAAGTCAGATCAAAATTAAGATATACAATGTATTCCATAACCAAGCTAAAGCTCAAATGTATACTTCATTTGTGTGATAAAAACCAAGAACTATTTTGAATACTATAACATTCACCAGTCAAAATCCATTGAGTGGGAAGTTGTTTACAGTAATTTGAAGGTTCAAAAAAAACCTCTTTACAGGGGCTATCCAACTACATTGTAAACAGCATTTGAATTAGGCAGCCTTCTGTCCTTCCAAATAGCCTTCATTTGCAAAAGCAGCTGCTGCAAGTTGCATTAGATCCAGAAAGATTTAGACCAGTGGTTTTCAGTATAGTGGGTATAAATCCCAAGAGGACAGGAGACCATCAGTTATCTTTATACAGAGCAAACAGAGCCTAAATCCATCCCATCGCTGCAGTCCCCACGTGGATTTCCTCCTAAAGGGTGAATACTTCAGGTGAATATTTACTCTTCATGCAACTGGAAAAGTCCAAAAGTTTGAGACGAGAGCAGGAAGAGTGACACTTGATGTGGTTTGAGAAAGAAAAAATGGGGGGGGAACTTCCATATTCTCAAGACAAATCAAGAGAGCTGCAAAACAAGCCAGTCCCAATGGAAAAGATAGATGACAGTTAAATGCAAGGTTCAAGTCAGCGCATTTCCAGTGTAAAAACATCCTTCCACCAGAAGTTAGTACTGCCTTAGTCAGAAACTAGTAATTGATTCCAAACACAGCTCTTAAAAATAATAAAACTCTTCTTCTAGAGACTGGGAAAATACAGGTAATAACATACTGAAATTTAGATTAACAGGTCAAAATTCTACAAAAAAAAAGTTGTAAAACTTAAATAATCCCTTTTTAAACTGCTTAACACATCTGATAAATAGCTTGCATGTCAATCCAATGTATGCTGTACCGTTTGGCTCTTAAATTCCAAACCCTTTCATAGGAGGCACCACACCTAGAGCACTGTCAAATAAATAGTGAAAAAACACAAGGATACTGTCTGTGTTTCAAAGCATGAAGAGGAACAGTACATGACGCAAGATAATCAGCGTTACACATACAGGGAATGCCATTCTGGTTGAACAGATTATGACGCAGTATTCTCCATGAAATACTAGGCACAAGAAAAATCAATTAGGCAGATTTTTTTTTCTGCCTAATGGACAAGTCTAAAATTAACATTCTTGGCAATACAACATTGTAACTGATATGCTTCTTGATATTTAAGAGCCATAATTGCAAAAATCATGAAGCAGTGCTTATATTTGTCTTTGACAAGCAGTTACAGTTCAGGACAGATTTCTTCTATGCTGTGTGCTCTACTTCCCAGCTGGTCACTAGTAGCATGTGCTGTGTAAGAAAGATCACAAGAACAGATAACTATTCATGCCCATTGATTATTTTAAAAAAATAATAAATAAAACCTGCTGAAGCCATCTCTGTTTCTCCACAGTAATGCTTGCTTCTTAGAAGTACATCCCATTTTCACAGCCTACATATGCGTTTTGTCCAGAAGTGTGGAAACTTCCAAAATAGCCATTTTGCCCTCACACTTGGAAGAGGTGCCCAGTTGTGTGCACCACAGCAGCACTGCCCACTGCTCACCCTCAATTCGGGAGTCCAGCAGCTAGAGACACCAAAGTGCACAGCTAATACACAGAGTTCCTGAAATACAAGTTCCTCAGGTTCAAATCTGGATGAGATATTTTAAACCAAAACAAGCTAATAAGTGGAGCAGTCTGTTGTGCTGTTTAAGAATTTAGTAAAGTCACAGTTTTGGACCAAGGATCTTAGGTATTGCAGGGCAGAAGGCAATAAAGGTTCAAAGTTTTTGTTATGAAAAAGCCAACTCTAGTTCTACTTTAAAAGAGAACAACATTCAGGGGCATAAAGCAAAGACCAGAAAAAGCCAAGTCCAGGTGATCTTCCTTTCCAAGGAAAGGCCAGTGAGGCTTGGGCATGCGTTGCACTTAGTCACACGTCCAGTTTGGCAAGTGAATGGTGTGGCTGGCAAGTAGAACAGATCTGTCAATGCTCCTGGCCTCTTACATCACCTTCCTGATGATGCCGACTACAGCTGAAGAAAACACAATGCAACCTGTATCTAGCAGCGGCCAGAAGAGCACACCCAGGCAGCTGACAGCTAAGTTAGCACAGTATCTAAGTAGGGTTATCAAAGCAATGAACAGCTCAATGTCCCATAGCAGAGGACAATAGTTTTACTGCTTGTCAATGGAATTGCTACAGCTCACACCTTTGTGTCTTCTGAGGAAATAAGCTTTTGTAAATCAGAAGGAAAATCAAGCGTGCATTGAAGTCCTCATGCTTCAATCAACCTGTATCAGGAATTTTTCCTTCACTGACCTCAAAGAGATTTTTTAAAGGAAACATATTTGTGGAAAGGGATGAAGGTCACTATTTTGTAGGCAAAGTCTATTGCATTGTTCATGGAGTCATAAACTGGGCGTAACCAGAGAAATTCCAAAGAAGCTGAAGGAAGCAATCTCAGTGCAGTCTATTGCAACTCCAACATGGTTCTTTTCCTCCAGAAAGTTTCACTGGTAGTTTCTATGTGCACAGGTAAAGCACAGCTACTTGAGGCAGGAAAGGAATGATCCATCCACTGAAAACACTTGCTAGCCCAAGATGAAAACAGGGAAAAAAAACATACGAACAGTTCTCACCATTACTGACTGGGCTGGTCATCTTCATTTCAAGCAGCAAGAAATCTCAGTCTGTAACCAAGAAGGGCAATTTATATTAGCAGTCTTGGCGGCACCTTCTTAAAAAGCTGTCCTAAGACATTAGCCCCTTTCTCAGCACAGACATAAGAAGTATTTGTAGAAGTCAGGAGTACTGTTAGTTTTACTCAAACAAACAAACAGGCAGGATTAGAGGATGAAAAGGAGCACCTGGTAAGAGAAGCACCTTTAAGAACCTTTAGGTTCATGAATAGACCAATTCCAAATGACAAGAGGCTCTCGAACCATCTGAATAACAATCCAGGAGCTGGTAGAACCCCAAATGCACAACAGACTACCAAGAAGCCATTCATCTTCACCTGGAATAATCACCAGGACTATGAAAAGGCACATTATTCCAGTAGAAGAAATAGACTCTGCATGCTAACTCTTACATAAATTTCTACGCAGTCGAAGACCTAATTAATTTGAGTGGTAGCCACATCACCAGATGAATTCCACAACTTAAAAGAACTGAAGTCAAATGAAATAAAGAATTAAAATACAGCTACAAATCAATATGCAGAGAGGCAGACATTTCCACTGTTGTTAAAAAGACATCATCAGAGCTGTTAGTCAGTTTAATAGACTGAAGTCAAAATAAGCCCTCACAGGTGTAATCTCCTGCACCACCAGATAACTCATTCTCTGCTACAAAAAATACACTAAAACACAATGATTTGCAGCTGAAGAGCTCTTTGAAGAAGGGCCAGAGGAGCAATCTTTCCACATAGTTTCAGAATGATCGAAAAGCATCTTGTTTTTTCGCAGTCCTAGAGAGAGCAGCTTAGGACCAAGAATGTTTATAGTATTTTGATCTACTTCCACAAGGGAAGAAACCAAATTGAAATACTCATTAAATTCAAATGCCTAGCATGGCCAAAACCATAAATTAGCTAAAAATGCAAGAAAGAAAGAAAGTTTTAAAAGTAGCTATTAAAAAAAAAAAAGAGTTAAAGAAATGTGAGCCACATTTTTAAGAAAGCAGTACTCAGTATAAAGATAAGAGAATGATCACAAGAGATCATCTCCAAAAAGGTTGCTTCAGTAAAGTCTTGCCATCACTTAAGCAAACCTCTATTTTTGAGTATGTATCAGTCTCCATATAGGAGATTTTTAAAATGTGGGCAGTGCTGAATGACATGGAGATGTTTATTAAGACAAGTTTTGACTGGATTCCACCATCCTTTTAACAACCTGAACTTAGATACAATCAGCTGGAGGCCATTTAATTCATGGGGCATTACAAAAGACCAGTATTTAAGCCTTGAAGAACTGATCAAGCACACAGACCAAAAATTAAGACTGTTTACGCAGATATTAGAATATAGTAAAGCACTGAACTTTGTTAAGCAGAGTGATACAAAACAAAAATGGAAAAACAAGACGCCCATGAAGTTAATTGAAAGTGTTTCTGTAAGCCATGGAGTCAGGAAGAACCAGGTTAATGGGCTGATAAACTGGCAGTTACACTGATGGAGTCCGTGAGCCATAAGCAATCTAAGATTGATAATTACCATGGGTGGCTCAGAAGCTGGGTTAGGGAGCAAGGTGGAATGGACTTCAACAACAGAGATGGAAAATGCTGCAAGGAGGAGCCTTGTGTCCAGTGGCGAGCGCAGCTGGGCAGCGAGGGGCCTCCCTGTCCTACAGCAGCAGCAGGAGGATGGCAGCTTCGAGCCACGGAGAAAGGACATACGGAGGCTTAATGGAGCAGTTCCAGTAAAGAGCCATTATAAGGCATGTTATAAACTGCTGTAGGATCAGTAAATCATTTACTAATTGATGGGTCTCAGACATAACACCAAATGACCCTCTAGCGATTATGAAGAAATTAGTCCTCTGATAAATAGTGGAACTAAGATGTGCAATCCACAGAAACATTAAAAATCCCACTTTGCAAGTCACCTCCATATTGCGCAGAATTTAAATTCATTTTAGAAGAGTTCTTAGTTCACATTGTTGCGAAAATCAAACGTGAACCATTTTCAACCCATGCAGCATCTTCCCTAGTGCTAATGTCTCACAACTTTGCCAAGCAACAGATGAATGAGGTTTATAAACTTTAGATTCACTGACACTAGTCTCATAAGCAGAGATGTCCACTCTTAACACCAAGAACTTGTTTCAAAGTGCTGTTCCAGACAGAGGTGGGAACTAAAAAACTGTGGTTATTCATCAGAAGGCCACCACAATCATCAGAGACTGATGCAGTCTACAGTTTCACCCGCAGAGAAATGGAAGAGAAGTTTTCAACCTCCACCTATCAAATTAACATCAAGAGGCAACTCTGAAGCAGGTTTCCGGGTACAAGCCCCAGAAGTTCTTACAGCAGCCAAGAGGGAGGAGGGCGGGCTGCTTAGCCCATGCTATGAAGGTGAATGTTACTGCTTCATGACAAGTGCACACTGAAGCCCTAACAGGATAGTTTTAAGCTCCAGTAAGATAGACCAAAGTCCTTTCTTAGGAAGAAGGACTTCCTTTTCTCAACCGGGAGGAAGCCATTATGCTAGTTCCCCACTGCTGACTACAGGATGGTTTGGGAGCAGAATAGGAATACATCAGGCTCCTCCATGAGGCCAAAGCTTGAAGAAATCTGCACAAGATACACTTCCCCCAAAACTGACGCTGGCAGCTTCACTACCAAGAGTCAGTTATGCCGTGCCCATAGTACTGGCCTCAAGGAGAGGTGCTTGCCCTTCTGTTATGACACAGAGACACACACAAGCAAAAAGCCCTTAACGTTAATGTTTTTAGAAGCATTCTACAGATGCTGCAGGACAGCACACAGGAACACACTTTACACATTATATACTTCTCCCTTCTCTGTTCATTCTTTCACTTGAGTCTATTGATTTCCTAATAGCTGAAAGCATTACTGACACCTAAACATGCTTTTTGATTAGTCAGCCGCTTACCATGTTCAGTTGCTTCTGTATTCATTGTTTCTACATCTGCATCATCACGCATCTCTTCGTCCTCATCCTCATCATCCTCACCATGTAGTTCTTTTGCAATGAGCTGCCTTGCCAGTTTGATATTTCGCCCTTCATTGTAGTGCATCTTTCTCTTCATTTCAAATTGTTTCTTCTTTTCTGTGGACAAACGAATCTAAATACTGAACTGATATTTTAATCGGAGACACACAAACATCAACTGCTTCCTAAGTCAGTTTCAAGCCACTTTAAAAACACATTATTCGCATTGTCAAGCAATACCTGAATTTACAGTATGTTCTCCAAGAAGTGAAATATTGTAGCAAACAGGTCTGACACACTGCCTAATAGTTACTGGACTGGAATGGCTGGAGTGCAGTTAAAAGCACATGCCTGCAAGCAAGAGTAAGTTCGACCAAGAGAAGCACCCAGGAACCATATAAAAAATTCCAAAGTTTCACAAGTCTCGTTTTAAGCAAATTTATAGGCAAATTGAGACATCAATGGTATACTAGAAAATGAACTTCTGCAGATATCTAACTTGCGTCACTGATACCGGCCTTCAGTAGTTAGCCAGCAAGCACTTTCCAAACATAAAAGAAAGTATTTTCCACTTTTCCCATGGCTTGAAGCCTAACTTTGCTCCATATATCTGACATTCCCCTAACAGTTGTAGCAGTAACTCATTCTGATCGAAGTAAATTCTGCTTCTTGGCAGTTCCAACATTGTTTTTGTCCTCCTCACCAGAATTGTAAGGTTACACGCTCGAAACTGATGAATGGCATTAGGAAAGATGAGAAGTAACAGCTAAACAACACAAGCTGGAAACCTTAGCAGTTTTATTGTTTGACTGTTTCCCCAAAATGTTCTGTCCCAAGCTAAGGCAGAATAGCATCTCTGTTGAAGATGCATGAGGCACTTTGTTTCACAATATTTATAGTTTTCTTGGTACACCTATCTACCAGTCGATTTGAAACTAAAATAAAATCAAAAAGCATCTATTTCTAAGCAATTAGCAGTGCTTTATTTGCACAGTATTCATTAAATTGTTAGTTCTACTTGAAATGCGTCCCTATTAAGGAATACTCCCTCATCTCAAACAAAAAAAGCCTCTCGTATGAGAAGCTGAGATTTCTTTAAAACAATTTACACACCTTACGCTTGTATACAGGGGGTCAGCCAGTAGCATCAAGGTTCCTCTTTGTATGTAGATCCCAAACCTAATAGTCCTGACTGTACAGAATTATTTCTCTTCATTTCATAATCATTTCATAATCTTTCATTTATGTTTGAAAGGTTATACATCTCCACTTTCAAATGACATCTTCCTACTACACATACACACACACACCCCACACACACTAATGCCTACCTCGTTCTTCAGGTGTTAATTCTTCATCCTCATCCTCCTCCTCGCTGCTTTCCTCCTGTCTTGCTAGGATCTTAGGTCCCTTACCTTCAGCTGCAGCTGCTAGTCTACATAAAGCATATAATAGAAAACGCTGAATAAGCAAATTTTCACAAACATCTTGAATTTTAGCATACTCATACCGACTGCTTTGTTCAATGTTTTGCCATATTCATGTGCACAAACATCCTGCAAGACATGACTTTTATTCTAGTGGTGCTATTAGCACAGAAAACTGCTTTGTTTAACTGCAGATAGCAAAAATCTGACTTTTAAGAACAGCAATACGTTTTCAAATTGCAACTACTTCTACAGAGATTAATGGATCTTAATGGATAGTCAGTTTTCTATGTCAATACTTACTTTTTACTCAACACATCTGCTTTTAAGGGCTCACTTGATTCTGTATCACTCACTGCATCCTCATCATCTTCTCCTACCATACTTTGAAGGCAAACAAAGAGAGTAGTCTTAATCAATACCTTGCTGCTCAAAATTCAACTGATAAAACAACCAAAACCTTACAAAACTCAAAATTGAGAGACCGCTATTATTTCAAGAGTTTTCTAAATCTAATTTAAATATTTATGTAAATGACAGTTTTTTATATGTTCATATAAGTGAAAGTTATAAACAAAAAAAATACAATTTACATTTATTGATTCTGTTAATATCTAAAGCCTAATACACACAGACCTTACAAAATTCACTTTTCTGGCAGTATTGCTCAGTAGTAACTATAAGCCTGTATTTAGCAGCTTTAAGTCAAACATATTGCATATATCCAGAAGGATTGCAGAGTCTATCAGCTACAGTTTCAGTAAATATTGCCTCATTCAGAAGGCCATATTCACTACAGTCCTACTACTATATTTTGCCTAGTATCAAAGATTAAAGTTGTTTAGGACAGCTGTTTTCGCAAGCCTACCTGTGATAAGGAGTACTTGGCTCATCTATTTTCATCAAGCCATAATCTTTGCCTGCTGGATGGTATGTAGCTATGATGTTCATTTCATCCCACTTCTGGGATTTTTTACTGAAATCAGAAATGCAAGTTAATTTTCTCACACTCTAAAAATCTTTTCTGCTGTTCGACCACAAAAGAAAAAACATTTAGAATATGTATTGCCTTTTATTATACTCTATGGCAAGCAGAATATTGCTATGACACACAGGCATGTTCAAAGCATAAATGTGATTAACATCACAGCAAATTGAGTGCGGCTTTACAAAGCTCTCCCTACCAACTTAAAAAAGCTAAATGAATTTATGGCTTTATAAATATATTCATATACAAACATACACACAGATATATACATTTCCCCTCCCACCCTAATAGACTATCATTCCTGTTCAATCATGCTCCCAGTAACCACCTGCTCTTATGTGTCACTGAAGAGGAAGTTATTCTTCCTCTTCCTCTTCTTACAGCCCACAATACCTGGACAAAACCAAGCAACCTGCCCTGGCCTCTGCTCAGGCAGCTGCTAGGACTAGTAGCAAAACTGCTGCACGAACAGTTCTGAGCAACAAATAACTCCTGCGGGAAAACAAGGGCCTCTGAACTGCTGCATTTTAATACTGCTTTTGTCACCGTGAACAGGGATCACAAAATGAGACCGACTGCTGTAACTAAGCCACAGGAGTTTCATACCTTACACAGAGATCCTCCAGCGGTCATGCATTATTTAGACTTTCCTCAATTAATTACAGAATGTACCATTTCATGCATATATGCATGCATTTTATGTATATATGCAGAAGCAAAAATTCCCCGAACCAACAAAATATGCAACCTGCAAAGCAAGCAATTGCTGTGGTCTTTCTCTTAGACTAATCCTTAAAACCTAACTTCAGAATATTAAACTAATTCCACCATTTAATATTAGCTTATCTGTTAATTTATGCTTGAAATGTTGTGAACTATGTTTTAATGAAGAAAATATAACAGGGTTTTACATTTAGTGATGATTTTTGGTTAAACCAACTAACCACTCTTACTTAGACACACACAGTTCTAATAACAAAGTACTAGTTTTGAAAAGATGTCATCTCAGCAATACAGGTGCTTATGAGCAGAACACTATCTGTAAAACAGATACTGATCAAACAGAATTCTCTGTATAAACTAGACTCTATATTTATGAAGAGAGCCACATAAAACGTAAAAGAAAATTGTTAAAGATACAGAAATGGAGTTTACGATGAATTCTATACACAACAAATCTATAATCTATAATTGCATACGAATAAGCGAGCTCAATCACCTTACCACATGCTAACCCACACCAAACCCTCGTATTTGAGGTGTCACATCTATTTAACCATTTTGTTCAATTTGAGCACAAGGATTACAATCTGAATGGACAAAACGTTAGCCAGATTGTCTGCTCCAATACGTTTGGCAGGCTGGGGAGTCACAAGCTTGGGAATGACAAAGCAGGAACTCTAGGTCTAGAAACACCAGCCACTCGTATCACCCACTTGGGCATCTAAACCCACTGATCAAACATCTGCTCGAAGTTCATCTGTGACTAACAGGAGATGATGAGGTGGTTCCACGTAGAGTACCTGAGAACATCCAACGCTCACAGAAGCAGGACAGCGGTATGCAGTCCCTATACAGCGGGAGCACTTATTTAAGGGAAAGAAAGGCGGATGGGAGAAACACAGGCTTCTGTGCTCACTGCAATCACCTCAGAGCGCAGCTTCACAAGAGCACAAGTCAAGGCTTCTGCCTTGCCGTGTGACCTGATCTTCTTGCCTCCTCTGCACCAGGAAACTAACTTAAAAGGGTTTCTGCTCAGCTGAGCCCCTGAACTCCTTCACTGCTTGGCTACGTAAGCAAAAAAGCAAGTGAAACACTGCAGCAAGCAACCTTCCTCCCCACTCTCCCTAAAATATATTTATTTTTTAAGATTGATTTAAGATCGATTTTAAGACCTTTTCTGCCAGTTTTAAGATTCCTGAAGTGTTCACGGCAGAATCTGACAAGCACCAGTGTCTGTGCTAGGGAAGCAGCAGGAACGGAGTAAACATGGGCTACCTGCTGGTGCCTCCACATTAAAAAAAATATATATATAGTTCTCAAACAGAAGAAAGACTAGAGTTTCTAGCCCAGTCTGGAGAAAAATATCAGACAATAGTACCCAAGAATTGGGAGTCAAATGACCTACATAAGGAGAATAGGGACGTAAAAAATCCCTGGACATGGAGGGATAGGAAACAGCTGTGAACTCAGAATCTTGTTTGATGTATTGCAGCAAGCTCTGAGACTGAACTGGAAGTGCATTCAACTTACAAAAGCCCCAAATTCGTCTTCATTCTTGCAGTTCCAACTAAAACTTGGCCCTGCTTCTTCTCCAGGTGATGTGTGGGCTGCAACACAAGTGAAGTCTTCCCATGTTCAACATGCTCTACTGAGGATGGCTTGGTTCAAGAAGTCTAAGCTGTACCCTGAAAAAAAGATCCTGAGCAAAATCTGCGTATACATTTTCCTGAACTTGGAATCAGGCTGCTCACACACATGGGATGAGCAGTGGCAGGTAACTCCACAGCTCTGGTTGTCCAAGGGGGTCAATTTACCACCATTGTGCAGAACAGTGTGCTGGAGCACAGGCCTGGGCTCTCTTCCTGCAGCGCAGGGGGAAGGAGCAAGACCAGTGCCTGTCCATCAGCAGCAAGAACAATTCCCAGACACTTCAGTGCTAGGAAAAGCACCCTAAATGGCAACAGCCCAGATGAGAGAAGTATATTTGTCGTCTAGAACCAATAGCAACATTGAAATATATCCTCATCAGCATCTTGCTTCTCTTCTCCCTTTGTACTGTGCTAACTTGGCCTGGTATCTTCACGGTCACAGCGCTAGCACAAACCTAGGCAGTTTCATCAGCCCTAACAGCAGCATTTGTTAAAGCAACGACACACAGGGAAGGAAACTGCTTCAGCCGCTGCATTCACTGCACAATACTTAGCAACAATAGCACCCTTAGAAACCTGGCAACCTTAGAAATCTTTCTGGCACACACTAGGCTTAAAATTAGACACTCTACAGACTGTAACAGGAACTAATAAATACAAGATTAAAGATTTTAGTGGTTTAGATTTAACATTTATTTAACTTACATACTATCATTAAAAGCTTTGGCTGTGGAACAAATCCCCCCCAGAAAACAAGTTAAAAATTCAGCTACGATTATCATTAGTGATAAACCCTGTCATTTCACCCCTCAGTATAAGAAGTCTTCACATGAGGGTGACTAACCGCTCTAAAAAACCCACACCTTCCTCGATTGTCTCTAATTTAACAGGCTTAGGCATGCCAGAGCAGCATAAAATTAATGATACAAGATTAGAATCATCCCAGGAAAATGCTTCCTGACATTGCTTCAGATAGAGAAACATGAACTCTAATCTTTCTTGATAAAATCAGATTTGAAAAATGAGGTGTGACAGAAGTGCTCCTGTGTGGTGTGAGCTGTAAATATGTAAGTGCCTATTTGGGGATCACACCTTGGCAGGCCCCTGCTAAGCAGCGCTCCCGCCGCGGCGGCCCCGTCCCCCGGAGGCTGCTCTGCCAAACTGCTCGAGGAGTCGGCTCAGCCCCGGGGCGCACACGAACGCCCCGTCACTGGAGTCGGTCTCACTAACGTGCCACCAACGGGACTGCCACTGAACGACAGTGCTGGCTCTTAGGGTGCCGCTCCAGTGGTGTCCCAGGCTTTGCTCCTGCATCGTGCCTGCATTAAAGAAGCTTTCCAAAGATTTTCACCATCACTAGCAACAGTGCAGGTCAACAATGATGTAAACACAGGAGTTCTACTGAACATAGTGTTTTAAGAGAAGACCGCTGACACAATGAGCTCCTTCCTGCTGCTGTAAACCACACTATTAGGGCTAAGCAGAGGCTGCTAATAGAAGTGCCCCTAGTAAACAGATGCTTTAGTTTCTAAGCTGATTTTTAATCTTTAAAAGAATGACAAATAGTGCAGCTGTGATCTTCTTTTAAATAATGATTTTGCTACAGACAGAAACAACACAGATTTAATCAAGTTTCCAGAGCTAGCAACCAAAAATAACATCTGCACACAAGCTAGCTTTGAAAAACCTCTACTGACCTTTCCAGGAAAGCTTCCAACACAATCTGCCAGCTTTAGCCAATATCCTTCAGCTTGTAAGGCAGTTTCTGAATTCATCTAATAACACATTTACTGACTTGCACTGCTAGGCAGGAAATGGGAACAGGATTCCTGCCCATTTAACTGCATCCCAAGAAATCACTGTGTGCTGTAACCAGCTACACTGCGCACACAGCTCATTAGTTTGTGCTCTAACTTATGGTCATTCTACAAGATGGCACAGAGGGACTATACAACAAGCGGCCACTAACAGCCCTCAGGTTATGGTTAGGTGTGGCAGTAAACAGTTCCCATTACATCATATTAGAACTGGAAAACGTAAAGATAACATTCGTGTAACATATTGCCATTAACGTTCACCTCCTTCAAAAACACTCTCTTGTTCCTTCAGCTGCATTAACTTCTCCCTGAAAAGCAGGAACTTTGAGCACAGACAGCTCACAAATAAAAACTTTTAGTCCTAACTGCCAGGTAGGACCTATATCCATGACTGAACTAGGCCAAGAGGAAAAGGAACACTACCACAATGAGCAAAATTTACATGTTTATTTATTATAGCTCTTCTGGCAAACTGAGCGAGGTCCCACACAAGGAACCTGCCAAGAGCAGGTTTATGAGGAGGGAGCTCAGGTCTAAGCCAGGTCAGGCCAGCACCCTGGAGCAGCACGAGGCAGCGCAGCACACGTCATGGCAATGTCGGGACCAAGGCAGGGATTTTTAACGGTCAAGGCAGCTACTCTCCTGCTGGTTGGTTAAAGGCCACTTCCTTTTTATTTGGGCTAACTCCAAGTGTTACAATTAAACCAAGATTTTGCATCATTAAAAATACAAGTTGCTTCACCAGTGAGAGCTCAGTTTACAAGTGCAAGATCTTTGGGGATGAATCTTGAAGAGCTAAGAACCGAGCTCCCTTATGTTTCAATCCTACAGAACTCTTCTCCCCACAGCCAGCCTTGGACGACCTAAGGTCTCCTACAGCAAAGTGTACTTTCCCAGCCATACCTTGTCTTGCTAGCAATGGCAAAACGTTTCCTTTTGTGGAATGCCCTTTTGGGAAAGAACTTTTAAGGGTAACTTTACTCCTGCTGGCGCTCCATGAGCAGCCAAGAGCCACGGCAGCCCTTTCAGCTGCCGCGCTGGCCGGGGTGCAC